ATGACCGTGCCACCTTCCAATCTTTCTCGAAGTAGTTAAGCCTAATTTTGCGAATATGCGGGTGATTTTTTGAGTATATTCTTGTAGAGGAAATCAAGTAGATCATTTTTAGAAAAAATCCAAACTCATTATTCAAATTCTATCGAGAGAAAAAAAGCCGCGAAAAAATCCGCAATAATTATGCATCACCCTGATATATATATATATATATATATATATGTATATATATGTACTCTGCCTGCGTGGATGATCGTGACTACATTTCTTTATGTGTCTGTATGTATCTGTGTGTATGAATGTCTGTTTCTGTGCGTTTGTCTGTGCCTGTCAGTGTGTCTTCATAAGTGTTTGCATACTGTGTACATGTACATGCGAATTTCTCTTTCCGTGTGCAAGAATTTATGTGCATGCGTTTCTGCGTGTTGTGTGCCAGTGTGTATGCTTCCCTGTATGGTCATGCACGCGTTCATGGTCATCTATATATGAGTGGTTACGGGCACATAGTAATGGAAACAGGTACATACAGTAGCGCTCAAAAGACTTCGGTGAAATGCTTCTTCAGACATACTTTTCAGTCGTAACTCCTTTCCTACTGCATGTAATCATGCGAAATACCTGTGGAAATTGCAGCTTTGCAGTCAAATAGTGATTACTAGGATGAAATATGCTCTAGTTAAACATGTCCAAATTTCGCGCGATTTGGTCCATTAACAAAAAAGTTATGAAGGAAAGAGCGTCAAAGCATTTCACCGAAGACTTTTGAGCGCTACTGTATATCTGTGTGTAGTGTGTGACTCTATGTATGTTGGTACATTGTGTGGGTGCGTAACTGCGTGTGTGCGCCATATGTCTGCATCTCTGTGTAACTGTAAGTGCACCTGCGGGTACGGATGTGTGTATGAGGAAGCGAGATTTGTAATTTTATGTGTCTATTGGATTGTGTATATTTAAGCGTCTGCGTTTGTATGTCCATGTGTATATATGTGCGCATGTGTAGGCATGCTTGTCTGTGAATGTGTTGATGTGTGCGTATGTACATATTTTTGGGTTTGCGCATAGGTGTGTGTAGGAGTGCATTATGTGTGCACTGTGTGTGGGCAGGTGTACGAGTAGATGGTGATGGTAGTGATCTGACAGAGATCATCCTCAATTTCTTTTTACGTGAACTTTGAAACCTGAGTTCCCAGAATGAGCTTCCAGAAGAGATTGAAGGGATTATTCGGTATCTCCTGGCAAGGTCTGGGAACAAGTGACTGTGGC